TTGTCAAACAAGGCTAAGGAAAAGCATGTTTGTAGCATCCAGAAGTGAGATCCCCCAGGAAATCCAAGCATTTCCCTATCCACAGGTTCAAGTTTGCACCCAGCAGGGAGAAAAGTCTGGGAAGGAAGTTGTATATCCATGAGGGGGGTGAAAGTTTAGGGAGAATTCTCATTTCTTTTAATTTCATGTGGGATTTAGAGGACTTAGAGAGTCACAGTGCTCAGGAACGCCAGGACTGGATCCAGAGCTGACTGACACCAACAGTTCCCACTGCTTTGAGGGAAAGCTGGGTTTTTGGGCTGGTCCTGCCAGGCGGATGCAGCAGAGCAGGGATTTGGGATTTGCTATTGTATTTCAGCTCTGGCCATCAGGTGGCAATCTGACCACTGGGATCATTATGTGCTGGAGGCATTTTGGGGTGGGTGCTCCTTGGGCTTTCCAAGGTCCTTTGTGATTTAGGGTCGTGTCTGCCAAGCTCTGGCTGTGCCCGCTGTCAGCTCCTGCCCTGTGCAGGGCACAGAAGGATGGGAAGCCAGGATCCTGCAGAATTCCCAATGGATTGAGGCAGGATGGAGGGCAGGTACTCCTCTGAATTCACCTGAATTAAGCTGAGATGAGCAGCACAACGCCCCGAGGTGATGAACCCTATCAGTAGTAGTTAAGCACACCCTTAATGGCAATATTTCCTTCTTGCTTGATCAGGGCTGTGTTTTGATGATTAGATCCAGCTCTGCTGGCCTGCAAAGGGGTCAGAAAAATGACTTTATTTTGGCCTGAGACCAGAGAAATGGAGACAGAATCCTGTCACCCCATGGCTAGAAATGTAGGTGATTTTGTTTATTGGAGGTGTGAAATAAAGAATCATGGAATCAGATAATTTCTTGGGTTGGAGTGACCTTAAAAATGATCCAATTCCAGCCTCACTGCCATGAGCAGCTCCCACTAGACCAGATTGCTCAATGCCTCTCAAGATATTGTTCAAAGTGCTCAAATATTACCTTCCTTCTTCCTCACCAGCCATTTTATCAGGAATTGTTTGGTTTGGTTCTTCTGTTTCTTCCCTGGGGAATGTTTCTAAAGGAAAATCACGCAGTGCAGGAACCTCAGGACATCCATGGAGCTGTAAAAGTGGTGGTGATGTCCCTCTTCTGGCTGGAAAACATGTTTGAGGTCACCTCACTGCTCTTCTTGTAGAGCCAGAAAATGGAAACAAATCCCAAGGAAGTGCTGGACTAATGAATATTTTCCTGATAATAATTTATATTATTACTGTATTATTATTATTATTGTATATTATCATAACCACTTAATAAGCAGTTCTAGACAGCACTGAGGTTTTAATACTCCCATGTGATTTTAAACTCACAGCTAGGAATGAGCTGCAAAGTTTGGATAATAACGTAAAAACCCTTCCGACACCCAGTTAATCCCTAAGGAAAAAGTACCTCTTGGTCTGTGCCTGTGTGGTTCCATTCTTAGCTACAAAGTTCTCTGTGAATATTTGTATTTTCTACTCTTCTGCTTGGATATTTCCTTTGGGCCTGAGGCTCCAGGTTCTGAGGTAAAGTGTGAGTTCAGTGGGTGCCATTTCATTCTCCTCCTTGCCTAGAAAATAAAAGTACCTGGGTTTCACATAAATGTTGAATTATCCAGGTCAGTGAGACTCAAGATTGTGCTGGTGATCAGGCACTGCCTGTCCAATAGAAATTAATTCTTGGGATCTTCTTTAAATGTTCCCAGTGAAGAAGTCAAAGAAGCTGTTTGCAATCTGTGAGCGCAAAAAATGCCCAGTCAATTCAGATAATTGGGTATTTCCACAGCAGAATTAGATATCTAACAGCAACAACAACAACAATAATTAAAGCAAAAATAATCACAATAATGATAATAAAAATAATAATAAACATATTAAAACCCAAATACAACAAACCCACCCCAAAACATAACACATTATTTTGCCTACCACCATTTCCTTTAACATCAGCCTTGCTTTTGCTTTCTTTACAGCTGCTAAATAGATTATTCATGAGGTCTCTCACCACCACTAAACCATCCCTCTCATTGTTGCCAGCCCCTCATTGGTGTCACACAGATTTTCAGTGTCTGCTCATATCTGATTATCTGTGGAAACAACCTTTCAATGAGCCTTTTTATCAAGTCATTTCACCAGGGAGCTTTGAGGGACTAATTTTAGTTTCATGACAACAACAATAAGGTCAAGTTGTATTTCTGTGCTGCTTTTCACCCAGGCAGACATTCCAGGGGGGCAGATGTGGGACAGCATGGTTGTCACCGTTGTCACCATGGAGTGGCTACGTCTGGCTCTCCATGGCAGCCAGCTGAGTTGGGATGGAGCTCAGGAGAAATTTGGATTGTTCCTGGGAAATGAGATGGTCTCTTCTTTTTTTTTCTTTTTTTTTTTTAATGTATTTTTTGATGTAACCAGTTGTGGAATATCGGGGATAAAGCTGAGAGGAGCCCCACAGGTGAGAAGTGGTTCAGTGTTCAATCTAGAAAATTCTGTGGAATAATCAAAACTGAACCCCAGCTGTTTGATTTGCCCCAAATCCCTGGAATAAACACAGCCTGTGGAGAAGATCAGCTCCCTCATCTGTGGGGCTCAGCCTGGAGAAAAGGAAGCTCAAGGGGGATCTTTTCAGGCCTTGCAGGGGCTGCCCAGGGAGGTGCTGGTGTCACCATCACTGGAGGTGTCCAAGGAAAGCCTGGAGGTGGCACTCAGGGCTCTGGGCTGATGACAAGGTGGGAATCTATCATGTCTTGGATTTGATGATCCTGGAGGTATTTCCAACCTCAGTGATTCTGGATTTCTGTGAAATCCACCTGGCAGTGCACAAAAAAAAGGCCAGGTTTGGGCACAGCTCGGGTTTTCCATGGCAGCCCTAGTTGTTAATCAATGCTGGGTGCAATTTGTTGATCTCAGCATTGGGTTGTGCTGAGGAACCCAACATTCCCACATCTGCCTGGCTGGGATTATGCTCCCACAGGTGCCACCTGGAATCTCTGGTATCACACCTATTGTGACCTGAAATTGTTGTTTCATTGTTATTTTGTGCCTCTTGCAAGTGCCTGGTCATTTAACAACTGAAAAGACACATTTACCTATCTTTTGATGATTCCTCTTGAAATATGAGGTCAGTCAGATGAAGGATCAGCTTCGCTGTTAATTAAAATTTCATCAGAACTGCCCCGGAAGAACTTGTCCCATAGAAGAAATTAAATTAACGGTGTTCAGTAGTAAGGTATCTTTATACTTTACTGGTATCCTCTGGAAATTTTCACAGGTCATGCTCCAATAAAACCCAGTTTTGCTCTTCAACTCAGTTGGAATTCCTGTTCCTTAAGTGCAAAAGAGGCTAATCATAGAGCAGAAAATAATTTGACTTGCTAATACTGGGTAAGAAAACATTTACTGCAACCACAAATATTTTCAGGATGATGGAGTATCTCATGTCCATGAAAGCTTGGTTCTGGTGACATGTTTGAGTAGGGAGGGTACTTTCTAGCAGAGGAAACCCTTGTCAACTGCAGCAGGCAGCTCCCTGTTCTTCAAAAGCTGGAGCAAAAAAATATTGGCAGAGGAATCAAAATCCTCCTCTTTAGCTGAGTCTGCCACCAGGTTTCTTAGGCATGAACTCAGGAAAATCTTTATTAGGCATAAAAAAAAAAAAAAAGAAAGAGAGGGGGAGATGTGTCTTGCAGACAGAAGGTGCATTCTGAGGTTAGCGAAGAGATGAATTATAAATAACTCAAGTCGAGCCGTGCTTTTCAAGCTATTCTTCCTTGATGGTTCCTAGCTGGGAGCCAGTGAGAAGTGTCATTTTGATGGGGTGCTGCTCCCCCCTGGTGAGATCAGGGCTCAGGCATTAGCTGTGCCCCACGGGAGTGCCCACAAAGCGGCGGTTGTTGGGTTTGTTATCGTGGTGGGAGCTGCTGAGCACGCCCGTGCTGCCTCACGGCCCCTGGAGACAGGGCAACTCTGCTCCCAAAATACTCCAGCCACTTCTGTTGGGTGACAAATTGTGTTTTTCTTTTCTCCTTTCATGTTTTGCTCCCCCACCACCACCCTTTTTTGCTTTTTGAATGAGAAAGCTCCATTTTCCTTACATGAATGGCGTTGCTTAGAAATTGATTCCTGTTGGAAAAATCCCCAAACTTTATTGCCCTCTGTGTGTCCAGGGTTTTCACTCAAGGACAAGGAGGAATTGGCTTCAGAGTGATAGACAGTAGGTCTGGATTAGTGATTAGCAAGGAATTCCTCCTGTGAGGGTGGGCAGGCCCTGGCACAGGGTGCCCAGAGAAGCTGTGGCTGCCCCTGGATCCCTGGAAATGTTCAAGGACAGGCTGGACAGGTCTTGGAGCAGCCTGGAACAGTGGAAGGGGTCCCTGCCCATGGCAGGGGGTCACACTGGATGGTTTTAAGGTCCCTTCCAACCCCACTTCTCCATGATTCAGTGATTACAAAGCAGTGATGTTCTGTTACACCTGCAGGGGTGCATGGCTGAGGTGTAGCTGGGAGCTCACAGCCACAGCTGCTGGTGTGGGACACACTGAGCAGGGACCCCAAACACCAGGCAAACACTTCTTGCCAAACTGGGATTTTACCCTAATTTATTTCATTTTTTTAAATTATTTTTTCCCTTTTACAAAATACACTGAGCCAATTAAAGCAAGAAGTGGCCAAAGAGAACCTCAACTACCTCTTCTGTGTTTTCTTCCCCTTTTCCAAAACCAAAGTGCAAACAGCAGAGGACCCCTGATCCCACAGAACACACCTGGCTGCACTGAGCCTCACCCCACCCTTCTGCAGCACCCCATGACTGTCAGTGTCCTTGCCCTGGCTCCACTTGAGTTCCTCCAGGGCGGGTTTTATCCTTTAGAAGCGTGCAAGCTCGGCTTAGCGAAACTTTGTCCCAGGGAGAGATTAACCAATGTTCACGTGAGTATCTCAGTGTGTTTTGTTCTGCTGTTTCCCCTTTTAGGTGACAGCGAGATTGTAAATAATATGTACGAGACCGACCCCGATCTCCTTGCTGGAGAAAGCGCAGAGGAGGAAACTGAGGACAGTATAATGTCCCCCATCCCTGTGGGACCTCCGTCACCCTTCCCCACCAGTGAGGACTTCACTCCCAAGGAGGGCTCACCCTATGAAGCTCCCGTCTACATTCCTGATGACATTCCAATCCCACCAGATTTTGAACTCAGAGAATCTTCGATCCCAGGGGCAGGGCTAGGGATTTGGGCCAAAAAGAAGATTGAAGTTGGGGAAAGATTTGGACCCTATATGGCAGTACAGAGGAGCACATTAAAGGAAACAAACTTTGGATGGGAGGTAAGCGCGTGGAATGTGGGCACCACATTCCTTTGTCTTCTCTGCCAAGTATTTGTGGAGCTGGACTGAGGCCTGGTGGCCTGGGGACAGAGGTGGTGACTTTGCTGATGCCGTGTTTCCCTGAGTAACTTTCCACCCCCATTACCTGAAGGATTTAAAAATCAGCAGAAATCCCTTTTAAGTTCACTTCTTGGGCCACAAAACTGCTCGAGCACCGATTTGGAAGTTTGTTTTTGAATGATGTCGGGTCACTTCATCAAGTGCTTGTCATTTCCAAACTGTGTTCGGGAGTTGTCGTGTGGAGGGAATGGGATTAATCGCATCATGTTTGGTGGTTGGGGGTGTTACCTTTGACTCCCAGCCCGTGTCAGCAGTACAGGCATTATTAACTGGGCAGGGAAAAATAGCATGTACCCATTAACAGCCCCGATGTTCTCGACTTCTTGTGCTGCAGCAAAGATGGAGAAATGTGAAAGTCATTTTTCCCAAGAGCTGAACAAAACCCAGCCTTCAGCAGGAAAAAGCTCTCTCCTACCACTCCCATCTTATCTTTCTCCCTGCTTTTCTGGGCTAGTCCCAAAAATCATCTTAGCCTCTTCTGCTCCTATATTCTTGATTAGAAAATATCTAGATCCATAATTATCCTGAAATATTCATGAACAGTGAAGTGTTTCCTGGGATTTCTGCTCTGTGCTCACAGTCCTATCCCAGTGTCCATTATCCAATATATAATTCCTTCTCTCTAGCCCCTGTGCCCATCCCAACATTCCATCCTCTGCTGCATTGGGAGCTGCTGGCTCTTGTCCTGAGGAAGAGGCTGTGTCTGGGGCAGTGAGGGCAGAGAGGTTTCCTGGCAGGATTTTGCTGTAGGATAGGTGAGGCCTGTCCCAAAAAGTGGGAGCTGAATTTTCCCTCATTTTTCCCTGGGTGAAGCAGAGACTTGTTCCGTTTTCTCCATCAGCCGCTACTGGGGTGAACTGGTGCACAAAATCCGGGAGGATTTACAAGGTGGTAAGCAGCTGAGGGCTGGAACTGTAAGGTTTTCCCAGAAGGCACCAGTGTGACAGAACCCTGTTTTCTCAGAAACAGGGGTCAGAAAGGCCAGGCTGAAGCATTAACAGTTTTAATTGTCTCTGATTATATTCGCGCTCTTGATTGTGAAGTCAGAAGTCAGTGAGCAGTGAGACCCAGTGAAACCCAGAGAAGCAGGTCCACATGTTTTTGTTTTGTTTACTTTGTTAATGTGTCTGAAGTGCAGGAAACAGCAAAAACCTCCTGTTTCAAGAACGAAACTCAATTGTGTTTTGTTCAGTAGGAAGTGTCTGTAGAGCTAAAATCAGAGTTTGGTTGAATGACTGAGTGGAGAGTTTCCTTTTCCTCCTATCGTAGTGCAGGGTAAAAAGAGGAATTAGCTGAGTTTTGATCCCCTCTCTCCCCTCCGATGGCATTCCTCAGAAACTCCTCTAGCTGTTGGCTTCTATAGTAAATATCATTGCAGAATATTTGCTTGGTATGACTGTATGAGCATCAAAAAGTGGGGCTTTGGGGGGGAAAAATCCCTTTTATTTTACTGGCAATACACGGTCTGGTTCAGAGGGGCTGTAGGTGTGAGGGTCTCGGGATTCCTGAGGAAGGTATTGATCACTTCCAGGTGTCTCTGAAAATAAGGAAAATTTTCCTCTAGGAATATGCCATATTAATTATTTGTAGGCTGCAACGTGAAAGATGAATCCGCTTTTTCTAACCCAATTATTGATAGGTGGCATTTGTTGTTTAAATTGTTCCTCACATCCCCACTGCTCTGTGTGTTCTGATAGGAGCTGCATTTATCAATTCCCGTTGACTTTGTGATACTGTTTGTTTTTGTAGTGTAATTGAGCAAACTTTCCCTCTCCAGGGCACTTCTGTTAGTTCCTTTGTCCCCTGCTGTGGCAGGGACATTTCACACCTCATAGGAAGAGCTTTGTCCTCCCTCAGGTGTCCTCAAACCCACCCCAACACTCACTGCTTGTCCTTGCAGGCACCTCTTGAATTTTCCTATTTCCCAGAGTGTTTAAGGACATTCCAGTTTCCATTCAGTGCCTTCAGTATTTTATTTGGAAGCAACATCCATGAATTCCTTCATGTGCTGGACAGGAGTTCATGGAATAAGCTCTGTCTGCTGGGTCTTGGTGCCTGAGCCCTTCCCTTGGGGTTGGAAGGTTGGAAAAGGCCTGAGGAGATGTTCTAGACAGCTCTACCTGATGGCAAATTGGGAAATGGCAACTTGGCATGTGTTTGCACCCTCTACTCATAAAATTGAGCAGGCAGGAAATGGGCAATGAGTGAAAGAAAGGGAAAGGGAAGGAGTTTTTTGTCACCCAGTAACTTGTTGGCTTTTGCTTCCATGTGCTGTTTCTTTCAGTGGTGATAAATTCAACAAATCTGGGATTTGTAGGATAATGGGGAATGCTCCTTCTTTGGTTTGTCACTGGTTCTTTGGTCAGTATTTCTCTGGAACTTGTAGTTTGGACTCGTAGCGACTTGTGGTGTAAGACTTCCACACAACTCCTTGTTATGGCCAATTTGAATATATTCCATGTGAATTGCCTCTGCTATTAGGAATTTACTTCAGGAATGATACCTGTTCTTCACCTCTTCTATTCATATTTCTCAATTCATTTCCTGTAGTTTATAATCTTGATAATCCCTCTTTGTGTCCAACTCACTCCCCAAACTCTGAAAACCTGATCCTTGTATTTGTTTGTTTTTAGGAGTCATCAGTTCCTTAATTTGAACAGTGCTTCTGCCTTTAGCACAAGGAGTTCTTGCCCTTCATCACAGGAAGTTTATTGTCAGGCTTTGACTAAACTGGGAGTTCACTGGAAGTGGAATTGGCTGCAAAGTGGCTATTCCTCAGCACCATCTCAGTTTTGCTAGAAAACACTGATTTTGTTGTCATACAGGACGTGTTTCATAATTAATATTTGTTCTTTCTGATTTCTGCATTAAAAAAAAAAAAAATAAATCAACATTATGGGCATTGGAAAACCTGCTATTGAGGGGTTTGATGTGAGAATGTATTTTTCTCTTCTGCCCAAGGATTACCACTACAGAAAGAGCTTTCTTGTTTCAAGCTCCAGTAAGGGCAGATTTTTGAAAATGAAAATGAAACAGAGCAGTGAATTGTACCTCGAAGTCCCCAGGAAATTCAGTTTGTGTTTGGAGGCAGAGCCAGCCTTGTTTCCATCTGAACTCCTCGCTCCAGACCCGGTGTTACTCACTGAAACTTTCAGCTTCACTCATTAGTAGCCCAAAACATCCATGGGAATGCAGAATGCTGTGTTTTATCAGCCATACCTTGAAAAAAGATGTGTAATTATTTTTATTATAGCTGTTTTTCCTTGGAGAAAGACAGGAGGGCTGGGTAGTGATGGTTTGAACATGTCCTGCCTTATCTGCAGCACAGCCTCGTATCAGGCCTCCTGCTTCACTTTGTGGGGTATATTTTAAAAAATATTCCTTGAATTAAACCACACCTATCATTCAAGAGCTTTTTGGACACAGGATGGCAGCGAGTGATTCATGCTCATCCCATAAAAATAAATCAGATGCGTCAATCCTGGCCCCCAGCCTCTCCCAGGGATGATTCAGTGGTCCTGCAGGACCTGTTGGGTGCTTTCCCTCATTCCCTGACACTGCTGTGCTGATCCTCTCATTCCACCTTTTTTTTGTGTGTGTGCCTTGAAGGACACCACCCCACCTAAAAGCCCTGTGATTATTGAGTGTGACCTGATTGCATTTCTCCTGCTCCCACTCCCCCCTGCCCGCTGACACCGAGCACAGCACTGCCAGCACCCCCAATAAATCACAGTGTGCTTGTGCTTTATGGCCTCCAGGGCCCAAGGAAAATGAAAATAAAATAATTACATAATGATTTTGATCACTTTGGATAAATAATGGTATTTATCATGGTGCTGTTAATTTTCCTAATTGAGAGAAGAATGGGAATCTCATCCTGGGGGGAAATTTAGCACCTGGATTGTAGGAGATCTGGAAGTAGTTATGATTTTAGCTCAGTTTGCTTCACAGGGTAAACACCACTGATAAATGCAGTTTGTTTTAATTTATATTTTAAGAGAGGTTATTTGCTGAAGCACAAAGACTTCTGTCAGATGAAGTGTCAGAGCCAGGCTTCTCCTTTACATAGGAAAAATAAATAACTTTTTTCATTTCCTACTTGGGGGGGAAGGTAGAGCCTGTCCCACGGAAGACAAATAACTGGGCAAAAATGGGATCCAGCAGCTGAGGATGCAGCAGAGTTCTGGCTCCACGTCTGGGCTGGGGAAAACTACTGGGTTTTGAACACTCTTTAAAATGTCACTGACTCACAGCAGTCCAACCTCCCTATTCCTGCAAAATTAAAATTTTTACCAGGGGGTCCTTATTATTTTCTCTGCTTTTTAGAAATACTCCTAAGTGCCAAGGGAAATTTACATTATGTGACTGGCATTAAATGCTGGGAGGAGAATTATATTCCGTTTCCTTTAATGCAATAAATATTAAAAATATTTAAATATTTAAAATACCTTCAAAATTAAAATATATTTTAAAATTATCTTTAAAATATTAAAATGGGAGGAGCCTTTAAGCACAGCTTGGAAGGTGATGGTTTAGTCATGTTTCCCAGCTCAGATCATACAGGAATTCCTCCATTTCCCCTTACAAGCTGATCCAGCTGAAGCAGCGAGTTCTTGTCTGTCCTGCCTTAGCCAGAGATGCTGAAAGGGACTGAGTCCTTTAAATGATCAAGGAATCCCCAAAGCTCCTCATGTCTCTTGACGGGCTCTCAGCTGGGCCCTGCGAGGATGTGATGCCATTTCCTGGTCGTTTTCCTTCCCTGGTTCATTAATTTTCCCCTCCTCTGCCTCTCCCTTTGCCTGGGGAATGATGTTACAGCAGCAGCCTCTCCCCCTCTGGGAAAAGGAGCTCCTGAAATGCTCCTTTTTCACCCCTCATCC